TAAAACGAAGAAAAAGACAGAAAAAGAGTTACCTTTGGTGAGTTTTCTTCACTTTTATATATATATATATATATATTACGTAGTGTTTAGAGCATACATAACTTATTGGATCAAGAAAAATGATCAAATTTAGAAAGATACATCGTTAGCATTAATTTCTTATGAATTACTCGTATCGATTATTATCTCCAAACGATACATTTGATCACAATCCAGCAAATAATTTTAAAAAATCCAAACATTTTACTATGAAACGAAGAAAAAGACAGAAAAAGATAACCCTCATCGATCTCATTTGTCGTTCTCTGTTCTTTCTACATCTAAATGAAAGATTACCGAACAGTTTCCACCTTTTTTCTTATGCCTCGAGTTTGACAACAAAACCATTTTATTTGTAAAAGGCAACAATTTTGGCAACGTTTGGTAGAAATCTGTGTTGAAAGAACAATTTCTGCAGCTGTATAATGGTCCGAAACAACTTTAAATCTACAATCTGTGTAGTTTTTATGAGCTAAACAGCTTCTCAAACACATGCCTATACTTCAAAAATGCAGGAGTTGCAAAATGCTCACAGTAATTGTTGCAAGAATGAGCGGAAATCTGCAAGAAGGGTCCTGAAGCATTAATAGTTAATAGTTGGGGACACTACGTTTCTTTTCTTGTGCTGTCAGTTCTGCTGTCACAAGCAGCAGATTGTATTTTATGATTCGTTTTGAACTTTGACCAGTAATTAGAGGAAACGGGTGAAAGGACACGCGACGGGAGATAATAAGTTAACGGCAAGCAGTGAAAGGTTTACAATCTTAACATGGTGGCAGGTGTCCAAACGTGAAAGTGACTCAGCGTTTGTTCCGGTAGAATCCCCTCTTAATCCGGTGCTGGAAAACAGGTTCTCAAAGCTGAGAACTTTAGAGCAAGGATCAAGCCGTAGAAGAATAAGAATTGGTTTCCCGGGCATTAAGTCACGATCTTTCATACATCACGTTGTACTGTAGCTGACCTCTTTTGTATTTGTACCTTGGACAGTGTTTGGGGCTAACCTTCTCATGAGCAGCATTCTAGTGAGTCTTTAAGCCCAGGTGTTTTCCTGTCGCTGTAACAGGTGCTTAGAGTGAAATCTCTTGATGGTTGAGTCCTCAGCGTCACATTACCATGACCGCCGTTGCTGGGATGTTTGAGAAGTCCTCGCTTACCTATACCTAGAAGCGGCCGGTACAGGTTGTTTTCTTTGTTGCTGTGCATTATCTGATTATCTCACCAAGAGTGTTTTATTAAAACGGAGGTAGGTCAGTGCAGTAAGCACCCTACATACAACAAGCTTTTGCTTTATGAAGGTACAAAATGTGTTTGAGATGTCATTTAATTTGAATCTTTATTCTCTTATGGAAAAATGGTACACCAGTTTCCCCCATCGCTGAGGGATTTGCCTAATGAATGTTTTGGTCCTCAGTCGGAAAAGGGTGGATTGCTCTCTTCGGGTCGAGGGTGATGTTCTGCCTCAAGTGGAGGAGTTGAAGCATCTTGGGGTTTTGTTCATGAGTGAGGGAAGAATGGAGTGTGAGGTTGACAGACAGATTGATGCAGCGTCTGCAGTATTGTGGACTCTGTGCCAGTCCGTTATGGTGAAGAGGGAGCTGAGCTGTAAGGCAAAGCTCTCTGTTTACCGGTCGGTCTATGTTGCTACACTCACCTATGGTCATGAACTCTGGGTACTGACCGAAAGAATGAGATTGCAAATCCAGGCGGTTGAAACGAGTTTCCTCCACAGGATAGCTTGACTCTCCCTTAGAGATACGGTGAGAAGTTCAGTTATCAGGAAAGACTTGGAGTAGAACCGCTGCTCCTCCACGTTGAAAGGAGCCAGTTGAGGTGGTTTGGGCATCTGGTAAGGATGCTTCCTATGTGCCTCCTTAGCGAGGTGCTTTGGGTATTCCGACTGGGAGGAGACCCCGGAGAAGACCCAGGACACGCTGGAGAGACTATGTTTCTCAGTGTATCTGGGAACGCCTTGGAATCCTCCCAGAAGAGCTGGAAGAGGTGGCTTTGGAAATTGATGTCTGGGCCTCCTTGCTCAAGCTGCTCCCCCCGCAACCCGGCTTTGGATTGAGAGGAAGATAAAGGATGGATGGATGGATGGATGGATGGTAGATGGATGATTTTAGTTTTTGAAACAATGTTCTTCTGGACTCGTTTTGGCATGTCATTACAAGCTTTGAAAGGAACCTTTCTTACATTCTTACTTAGATGTAGCCACGCACCAAAATATAAAAGGGTACCTCACTTATTTTTCAAGTTATTTCACTCACAAGATTTACCTAAATATGCATTAATGGTGGCACCCATCTGGAATTTTTATGTTGCTACACTCGTTTTAGAAAGGAAACTTTCTTACGTCTAGATGTAACCACACACCAAAATGGAGAACATACCTTACTTATTTTTAAGTTATCATGCTCATAACATGGACATGCATTTATGGCCGTAGCCATCTTAGATTTTGACCTGGCAACCTAATTTTTCAATGGAACCTTTCTTACGCCTAGATGTAGCTACACACCAAAACATGCTCACAGTCCGGCCAGCTGGTCGGATGGACAATAGGTAGGTAGGTATTTCCAATTCCCTTTTTTCACTCCGCGACAGAGGACAATAAATGTGATACTCTAAGATCCTTAAATAAAATGTTAAATACCACCTTAGAACCTTTAGTGGTAAAGTTTCAGTGTCCTGGCCAATTAAGCTTTGAGTCGTATACAAACCATGACCAAACCAAGACTTATCAACTAAAAAGTGCATTTTTCTTTGTCAAATATTTTTCCCCTTAGAAAAGAAGTGGCTCATAAAAACAAACTAAAACATCTTTAAATAAATGGCCAGTCTAACACAAGAATAGTTTTTAGTCTTTATTCTAAATATACCCAAAAGTGTTAGACACCCAGATGACGTAATTCAGTTCACTTGTAGACTGGGGATGTAAAATGATTTGATAAGCAAAGAGCTGGGACCTCCAGAATGGACATCAGTTCTGGAGTTAAATCAGGAAGTGAAGATTGCAACACAAAGGATGTCTCGTGGACACGACAATACGTGACTGAGACTGACAGGGATTGCACTGAAGCCAGGGCTTGTACCGTGTAACTCCCCAGCATGTGGGGCTTACATATGTCACAGTGACCCAATGTTGTGCTCTGGTCGCATCAAGGGAGGATCGCTGCATTGTGCAACAAGAATTAAAACCTCATGACATCTGTGTCAGCCGTTCAGACACAAATACTGGACTCTTTACACAATATCGTGTCTTGACTACTGGCATCAGCCGGAATGTGGGTTCACCACTCTACATGTAGACTACAATTGCAAGCAAAGCAGAGATGGCTGTGTTTGGTTTAGTGCCATAACTCGGTGCCGTAATTCGGTGTATTGTTTTGCACTATTGGTGACTAGCGTATATCTTAGATCTTTTAGTGTACCATTGAGCGTTCGTTTAACGTATATCTTAGTTTATGTCTTGGATCCTTATTAACTGTTTCTCTTTACACTATATATTTTTGCTATTGTTGGATGTAACTGGGACCCTGTGTACAAAATTGTGTACCACATGCAACGCAAATGACAATAAAAAAACTTGAGTCCTTGAATAAGTGAGAGGCATGGACTGATGTTCAGCAGTAAATGTTGGTTCTTGATGACCATGGATGCTCTTTGGGTGTGTATAGTGTCACCAAGGGGACAGGGCTGATCCTGCCAATGCTATGAAGAAACGCAGGCAATACACCTGGCAGCACGATGTGGGGAGTCATAAGGAATGGCTTCAAGTCACCTCTGGTAAGGATTTTAAAGACCAGGGCAGCAGTGCACTACGTCAATGGCCTTCTCTTACCCCTTCTAAGACAGCATCCTGATTCATCCTTTTACAGTTTGTGAGATATATTATTTCAAATGGTCTAAAAGAGAAGAACAACATATACTTGAAAGTGCTGCTAAAGTAGTCGGGAATAGCAGGAATGTTGTGTAATAATTGTCACGGTTTTGGGGTGGCCCAGCAAACAAGATGCGAACAAACAGGACTGTCTGCTGCCATCTAGTTCTTCTGTTGTTTGTCAGGAAATGAGACATTACAGCAAATCAATCCCCCTTTGAACATGGCAAGAAACAAAAATGCTTTCGTCCCGCAGGCCAGCACTGTAATGGTCAGTAAAATAAAGTTACCAGATTACGGTAGTTATATCCCAAAACAAACACTTACTGCCTTGTATGTAATATGTTGACTTGCCAGGTTTGTTGTCCTTGCATGTTTACGCTTGACACTTTCTATTGGTTTTACTAGTACGTTTCTTCTTCTGCTGCTCCTGAATTGTTTATCCAATGCATACACGGAGGTCTATTTTTAGAAAAGCAGATAATTCTTATCAACACTGCAGACAAGTATCTGTTTAGTCTGAACTGCATGGTTTTTGACATGTGTACATCTGAATCTCTATGAAATTTCCATGGAAAGTACTTATAAATGGCCTGGTTGAGACGAGGCTGCTCTGCAGATTCTGAACACGGACAAAAGACAAGAAGTTATGCAGCAAAGATTCAATAAAGTTTAATTAGATGATGCAAACTGAGCTTTTTTTAATTGAATAAGACCCAAGAACTGGGGAAAAGATACTTTTAATTCTAGGCTTTTACATATCAGGACATAAAAGAAATGGTCTAATTTTTTACCAAGGGTAGACATCACGGTAAATTCACCCACAGCAATTGACAAATGACAATAAAACCTGAGAGTTGCATAACAAGCTCTACAAGCCTTAGCAGGTTAAGGTGCATGACAGGACGAATAGAAAAAAGCTGATCGAGAATGACTCGTTAGGAAAGGTTTCCTCGTCGCCAAAAACAACACGGCAGCACGACATTTGTTTGCAAACTTTGCCAGTTAAACTTTTTATTTTATTTTCTGTTGTACTTTAGGATCCACAACTTCTCCTCCTCCACCATAATCCTCAGCACTGGCTCCCCTCAGGGCTGTGTGCTGAGCCCCCTCCTGTTCACTCTGCTCACATATGACTGTGCACCTACCCATCCAGGCTGTAGTATTGTAAAGTTTGCAGATGATACCACGGTGGTGGGATGCATCATAAACAACGACGAGTCCAGCTACAGGCAGGAGGTGGAACACCTGGAGAGCCGGTGCAGGAAGAACAATTTTTACATCAATGTGAAGAATACAATTGGGGATTTCAAAAGGAGCAAACACACCTACCCCCATCCCCTCCCTACTCATAGTAGGATCTATAGTGGAAGTGGTCTCCAGTTACAAGTACTTGGGTGTGCACCTGAATGACAACCTCAGCTGGAGCAACAACACCACCAGCCTGATCAAGAAAGCTCATCAGAGACTTCCTCAGGTGGCTGAGGTGAGCTGGTCTGGGAAGCTCAATCCTCACCTCCTTCTACAGGTGTGCAGTGGAGAGCATCCTGTGCTCCAGCATCAACATGTGGCATGGAGGCTGCACAGCTGCAGAAAGAAAAGCTCTGCAGAGAGTGGTGAAGGCTGCACAGAAGTCTGTTGGAGTCAGCCTCCCCACTATCACAGACATCTACATCTCCAGATGTAGGAAGAGGGCCACCTGCATCATGAAGGACCCCACTCACCCAGCACACACACTTTTTGCCCCACTCCCCTCAGGCAAGAGGTTGCGGAGCATAACCAGAAAAATCACTGTAATACCACTTTAATTGGAGATTTGACACTTTGTGCTGTTGATTCTTACCCATAAGCTGCTGTATTCATACCCATCTGCTCACAACTGACTCATGTTCAGGCTCCTGTTGTATACACCATATTTTATTACATTATTATTGTTTAGCGTATATCTTAGATCCTCGTATACTGTTTCTTTTTGAATAGTTTATATTTATGCTATTTTTGTGTGTAACTGGGACCTTGAATACACAATTTTGTTCCACCTCATGTACCACATGTGATGCGAATGACAATAAATAACCTTGAACCTTGAACAAGAGACTGGTTGGATGTAGTTTTTCATGCACAACTTTGACATTTTGGTTAAAAGAACACTGACCTGGTGGAATCTGCTGTGTGCTTTTCAATGCTTCAGGTTAGATATCAGCATTTTAACAAAGGCCAGATCATTTTGATCAAGTCCTGATGCGTAAACCCTACAAGTGACAGAGGGTGTACCGTCTTGTTCCCATGACTGTGTATAGCCATATAAAAGATCATTGACAGTTTATGGTTTTACAACTCTTTCGTGCTTCTCTCCGTCATTTCTTGTCGGCATTTCAAAGACAGAATGTTCACTTTGTGTCCCTCCCACTTCTAGGTACCATCGTAATGAGATAATCCCTGATTATCACGTCACCTGCGGTAATGTAACACTCGATTACTTTATGAGGAATCGCAGCCAGGAGAGTGTGTGAAAGGAATGCTGCTCCTGTGATGATGGTTACAGGGATCCCTTCTGCTAGCTGCTTGAAATAAATCCCCCCTGACCTTTCTCCTTCTAGTCCCCCCTGCCTTTCAGCGCTGGCTAAGCAAAAACAGGAGGAAAACCTGAGTCATGGAGCCCTGACCACACTGCTTTATCATATAACGGGATAATAGTACACCTGATGGAATTTCTTCAAACGTTCCCTTGAGTGCTTAAGGATAGGAGGGGAAAGGGAATGTCACGCTGGGAGGAGAGAATAGAGATGTTTAGTCAACCCTCTGCTCTTACGTGACCCCAGGAAACACCTGTAGAGGCAACTATCATCCCTATGTTTATTCATAGGATATCCTTTTTGGGGTGGACTGCCCGTCTTTGTGTAAGGGATCAGAAAGAGAGCAAACAAAAGGCAGCTCCATCAGGGGAAAGTTAAGAAATCAACCTGGCTGATCTCTCGTACAGGAATCGACACCAAATCTTGTTTCTGAGAAACTGTGACTCTTTTTAGTTTGTTTAGAAAAGGCAAAACTACCGTTTCAAAACTATGCGCATCAAATTGAAATAAAGGAGCTACTACAATTCCAGCAAACGAAACACTGGACATATACCTGGCTTCAAACAGCAGTAAAACTCTAAACAGCACAACTTCAATATTAACTTTCAAATTGACAATGACGAATCAAAATCCATAGTTTATTGAACTTTTTAAAAATATAAAGTAAGTTTAGTTGTAGTCTGGTTACTGTAAATGAATACTTTCCCTTTTATTAGCAATATTAGCTGTTAAATATACGAATTTATTGCTGAAATGTTGAAACATTGCTGAATCCAGAGCATTAACTCCGCCCTAATGGTGTAAGCCAATCGCGTGAAGGCACAGTATCAGCTCAGCCAATAACGTGGCGCCAGTATTTTATCAGCCAATCAGCTTTGAGTAAGGCGGAGCTTAAATGTTTTGTTTTTTTTAACCATTAACGCTGGTTTGAGTCTTAACGGGTTACATAACACACGTAAGAGCCGGCTCTGCTCAAACATGTGTAGCTCACAAAGTAACCACACGTAGCCCGGAGCAGGAGTTTTCACAAGAGCAAGAAATTAATTGTCCGAGCTCCGGCTGACATGGAAAAAGTCAGCAAAGATGCCAAGACGAACCCGGCGGCGACGGCCAACTTTCTGTCGAAGGTTTTCTTCTGGTAGGTTCAAGCGAAGAGCTGCTAGCTTAGCCGCGGAAGTTAAAATAAGTCTGTGTCAGAGCAACAAATGCAACAAATTCAACTTAAAAAACAACAACATGGAAACTGCTCTGTGTTGACCACGTTTTCCTGCTTCTGACCCACGTCTTTTATTTTTTTAAGTGATTTATTTTCACGTTGAAACTCAAGATTTTGGATTTATGACCTCCAAATTACCCTCAACTTTGTGTAAATTTGTAGTCGGTCACAGAAGTTGGCTTTATTTATTTTATTTTTATATATATTCAGTGGTTAAGGTGAATATGCATCGTTTAATTTTTTTTTCATTCAGCCCAAAAGTTAGGTTGTTACTGCATCACCATTGAATAAGTATTTATTAAAAATAAAATAATAATAATAATAATAACCACATCACATGTATCATTAGAAAGGGCTTCTATTTCAGCTACTTTTTAGCTGTTTTCATGCTACATTTAGCTTTATCAGCTAATTCCACATTTTTTTAAGCTCCTTACACTTCTGTTAATTTTAGCTTATTTCTGCCTTTCCATCAATTTTTGCTCGTTTCAACTTTCCTATTTTTTCGGCTCATTTCTATTTATTTAAACCTAAATTTAGTAAATGTGTTCTTTCTGCTTGCTCTTCAATTTAATCCACGTTCCATTTCAGCTGTTTTTCAGCAAATTCTTCACTAAAATTAATTATATAGGCGTAATGATAAAAATGTTGGAGCATTTTAAATCTAGCCTGACGTGCCCATAAAGGCTTAAATTAATGTAAAAACAGCAGTGACCCACAAGCCAAATATCTTGCTTATTTCTTGGTCAAATTAGACAAAGTTTAAAAGCTGAATTTATGAAGATTCGTACAAAAGCTACTGAAATCTAGAGAAATTGCATTTCCTGCGAAAATGCAGTGTGAATGCTTATTAGTGAAGAATTTGCTGAAATTAGCTAAAAACATGCTGAAATGTAGCTGAAACTGAAGAACAAGCCTAACTTAGCAGAAGCAGAAAGAACGCATATTTACTGAAGTAGGTTTGAAAAAACTGAAATCAGCACAAATTAGGTAAAATAGCTGAAATTGGTTAAAAAAAAAACTTGAAAAGTAGCTGAAAAGGCAGAATGAAGCTTAAACTACCAGAAAAAAGTGGAAGGAGCTGAAATGAGCTTAAAAAAATGTGGAATTAGCTGATAAAGCTAAATTTAGCACCAAAACAGCTACAAAGTAGCTGAAATAGAAGACAAAGCTGAAACTAGCAGAAAAAAGCTGAAAGGAGCATAAAAAGTTGAAATTAGCAGAGATATGTTAATTAGGCTGAAAAGTAGAAGAAATTGCCATGGAAAATTTGGATTTATCTGAAAAGAGCTGAAATGAGCTAAAATGCTTTAAAAAGTAGCTGAAAAGGTAGAACAAGCTTAAATTAAATTATCAGAAGAAAACAGAAAGAGCACATGTTTACCCAATTAGGCCGAAAGAAGCAGAAATGAGCACAAAGTGGAAATTCTGACAAAAGCAGAAACTGGCTAAAAAACCAACAGCTGATAAGTAGCTAAAAAAGCAGACAGAAGCTTAAATTGCCAAAAGGGAGAGGATAGAGCACATTTTTGCTGAATTAGGCAGAAAAAAGTCAAAATGAGTGCAAAAGATGAGGCATTAGCTAAAAATAAATTTAGCATAAATTCATTCAACCCTTTATCTTATACAGGTTAGTCTAAAAACAGCTAAATAGTAGCTGAAATAGTTGCAACTTGCATAAATAAGCGGAAATTAGCAGGAAGAAGTTAGAAGCATAAGAAAATAGTTATCTATCTAGATAGATAGATGTATAGATATTGTAGTTGGCAGAATCTATAAGGAGCACAAAACAGCTGAAAAAACATCTGAAATTAGCTGAAAGAAGCTGAACCAGAACAAAATGTGAAAGGAGCAGTAAAAGGTTTTAAACGGCTCTAAAGATCTGAAGGATGTAAAATGAGCTCAACTCATTTTATATGAGAAAAAAGTTAGTCAGCTCAAATGGACAGGTTCTTCTCGGTTGAATCGTTTTGTCGTTCGTCTGAAACATTTCATCTGTCTGAGACCATGTGACAGAACTATAAATAGCACCTTCTCAAAGTGGACAAACCAGTTTGCTGGGGGCATCCAGAACCAGCTTTTCACATGTAAAAGGAGCACCACCAGTCTAACAATGGAACACCAGTAACCTAACAATAGATCGTTAGTGCCCTGATAGCCGCTTGCTACTCACGCAACTAGCCCGTCCTCCATCATCCAGGTAAACAAATCCAAAACTAAAGACGGATCACTTCGAGCACGGTCCACGTCTATGGTTTCAGTTAACGGCTTAAAACACAAACGAGCGACGTACTGTTTACCTCGGAGCTGCAGCGCGTCGTATTCAACTGATTCGTCACATCTGGAGTCGTTTGTTTACTTTAGTCACAAGGTTTAGCTGATTTAGCAGCTGGAACCGAGCTTGGATTTGGTTGTTTCGGCTGATGCTTCACTTTAAATGGAGTGAAATCAACACCCACTCAGCTAGACATCAGGTTTCTCTATGGTTGATGTCAATATTTAGACATTAGAGCAGCTAATAGTTAATACACATGAATTATTTAATATTTTTGCTATGTATTTAACAAAATAAAACAATAATTAACCTTTTAATCTGCACTTTTAAAGAACGTGTACACATAAAAATGCAATGAAGGGCAGTTTTGCTAAAAAAAACTAAATATGAGCTACAGTTATTGTTGCTTTACTTTGTAACCGGTTGAACAGTTGTTGATTAAAAAAAAAAAAAAATAGCCGATATCGGCCATTTAATCGATCATCTCTAGTCTCAGATATCCATTTTATCACAAACTGCAGGTGTTTCAAGTCCTGGTCCTCGAAGTCTACCATCCTTCAGGTTTTAGCCGTCACCCAGCTCAAAACACTTGATCCAATGGTTGAAGTGCCTCCAGTAGGCCTGTCACGATAAACAATAAATCAATTAATCAATTAATCACATGATAAATGAAAATTATTGACCTCATTTTCATTTATCGGCTTTATCGTTTCTTCGTGTCTCTCTTTCTACTGAAGACACTGGATGACAAAAAGCTCAACTCTGGTGCTCTTCACTGACCCCTCCCTTTCACTTTTCTCTTTAAAATCTGTTTTAACTGTCAAAAATCGTGTTTTTGGATCGTTAAAAGCAGCTAAGCTACGAGCTAAGCTAACAGGCCGACTTGGGGGAGAAAAAAATCTCTGTCTTGTCGAAGCTCCAAAATTCACGGTTGAAACCCGTGCCTTCGTATAAAAAGTTGTTTTTCTCTGAAAAAGAAGTTGAGAACTTGTTTACTGATTTTTTTTTTCATTAAAAGCTTTGTGTGAAAAATGCTAAAGAGCTCAAACCACAGCGAGCGTCCGCCATTTTGAGAACTGAGGACAGCCCGTGTCACGTCAAGGGGCCTCCCTCCCATGTTCTTAAAGAGACACGCTGTTCACTCCCTCACTATCCATCCTTTGGGTCAAACAGTCTTATACTGCCATCCGGTGTTCGAAAAAAGGTACTACACACAGAACAAATTAACAAACATTTCTTCTTAAATTTGACAATAATTACTAATTATTGTAAAATTTCTAATAATATCGTTTATCGCAATAATTTCTGAGCCAATCACCCAGCAAAATTTGTTATCGTGACAGGCCTATCTGGACGGTAGGCCTGTCACGATAACGAATTTTGCTGGGCGATTGTCTCAGAAATAATTGCGATAAACAATAATATTGTTTGAAATTTGACAATAGTTAATAATTATTGTCAAATTTAAGAATAAATGTTGGTTGATTTTTGTTTGTAGTACCGTTTTTTGACCACCGGATGGCAGTATGACTGTTTGAACCGAAGGATGGATAGTGAGGGAGCGAGCAGCGTGTATTTTTAAGAACATGGGAGGGAGGCCCCTTGACGTGACACGGGCTGTCCTCAGTTCTCAAAATGGCGGACGCTCGCTGTGGTTTGAGCTCTTTAGCATTTTTCACACAAAGCTTTTAATGAAAAAAATCAGTAAACAAGTTCTCAGCTTGTTTTTTCAGAGTAAAACAACTTTTTATACGAAGGCACGGGTTTCAACCGTGGATTTTTGGAACTTTTATCAGATGGAGGTTTTTCCCTGTGGTCGGCCTGTTAGCTTAGCTCGTAGTTTAGCTTCTCAGCTGATTTTAACAATCCAAAAATGCGATTTTGGCTCGTTAAAACAGATTTTAAAAAGAAAAGAGAAAGGGAGGGGTCAGTGAAGAGCACCAGAGTTGAGCTTTTTATCATCCAGTGTCTTCAGTAGAAAGAGAGACACGAAGAAACGATAAAGCCGATAAATGAAAATGAGGTCGATGGTTTTTATTTATCATGCGATTAATTGATTTATTGTTTATCGTGACAGGCCTACTGGATGTTTTTTTGTGTGTGCGTGTGTTTTGAACCGCTGTGTCATGACTGTTTCAGATGAGTTGACGGGGGAGAGGGTGCGCCCCGAAGGCCATCTTGGCACCAGCAAACTGTTTTTTCCCACTAATGGAGTATGCTGTTTGTGGGAATCAGTTGTGTTTGTTGTGGCTCCTCAGATCGAAGAAGTCCTTTTGGATGAAGGACGAAACGTCTCGGCAAAGAAAAGAAACCGTCCAGATGACCTGACTGAACAGTGTTGGATTATTACCTGGATTATTGAGCATGAACTTGTGTGTCTCTTCAGGATGTCCTAAAGTTCTACAGAAGCTTTTTATTCGCCTGTCCGGTCAGTTCTGGTGTGCCGAAGCAGAAAACGGTAAAAAAAAAAGTGCACGACGGTGGCCCTCAAGGACCAGTATTGGGCCGCTGCTTCAGTGTTGAGCACTTTGGGAATTTAACACGCAGCCCTCCACTTTGAAAACAGACTTCATGTAATTATTTTACGACTATAAAACTGAAATGCTGCTGAAAACAACTGAAAAGGCTCCTAAACACAAACTGTTTGTGTTTTGCGACGCAAACTGGTTCCGGGCAGTTAAATCTGTTTCACGTCTCATTTCTCGCTTCCTATTTACCGTCACAGTGGCGTTTTCTGGATTATTTTATGGTTCTGTAGGTTTTTAACCGCTCTGAGTGGAGAGTGGCACTGCTGAATGAATCCACTGTCCTCATTTCTCCGTCAGGTGGCTGAATCCTTTGTTCCGCATGGGCTCCAAGCGCAGGCTGGAGGAGGACGACATGTACGAAGTTCTCACAGAGGACCGGTCGGAGAACCTGGGGCAGGACCTGCAGAGGTAGAGAAACTTCAAACACTCAATTCTGGTTGCAACCCAGTGGACTCTGACCAACGAATCAGTCATTCAACCTTTATTTCTACAGGTTAGTCTCATTGAGTCACGAGGACTCGTTTACAAGAGAGACCTGTTTTTAACTAAGAACACAGATGAGGTACAGACGACGATAATCTACAGTAAAAATGGTGTTCAGGTGCAGAGTGAGAAAATACCTTTTCGCCGAGGTCGGTCTGCACTGAGGGAACGCTGCAGGTAATGATGTTCTGAGAGTGCACGCTGTAACTGCACTGACGACGTGACAACTGGGAGGAGCTATAAGAAGGCACCAGACCCAGGAGGGATTTCTAGATGAAAATGAACCAGTGTGAGATCCTACGTGTAGATGATGAAGACCATCTGACCAAGGAGAACAGGGTGCAGTGATGGTACTAGTTACAACCGGTTATGAATCTTAGCGCACCGTGGTAGACAGCGTCCGACATCTGCAAGGTACAAGCAGGGCGTTCATGTAAATAAGGTCACCATAGTCAAGGCGTTTTCTGGCGTTCAGAGTTAAGCAAGCTCTATTTCTGGTAAAGAAACCCAGTTTTAATTTCAGTTTTCTTAAGTTTTTGATATGTGGTTTAAAAAGAGAGACGTGTATCAACCAAAATTCCCAAAGTATTTGTAAGGATCTACAAACTCATGAGGAACAGCATTTGTAGATGAAATGGAAGGAAGGACTGCTGGTACCAACTTCCTGTTACAACATCTCCGCATGTAGCAACAGTTTGAGACGAAACAGGTCTGACTGAATGACGTCTAATGCAGACTGTAGAAGCTGGAAAACCTCGGAAACTGCGTTAGCTCGACAATAAACTGTTGCATCATCAGCAAAGAGATGCAAGGAGGCGTCAGGAATGCTTTGATCTACATTATTTATATAAACTGTAAACAGACTGGGTCCTAAAACTGAGCCTTGTGGCACACCATTAGTGACCGTTGGGTAACTAGATGAAGTACCATTATGCCGAACACATTGTCTCCAACCTGAGAGATAGTTTGAGAACCAGCAAACGGTGTGAAGCCAATATCTGAGAGCATGTGACACAAGATATGGTCAAATTATTCAAATTCTTAAAACGGTTCCAAAACTCGAGATGAACCAATTTATAAATAAAAAAAAAACATTTTAAATGGGCTCTTTAGGCACAAAGATACCAAAGATGAGTCCGATGGACAAACTGCTCTTTTAGGTGATTTCCAGAAAGTCGTTGGCTGAAAACTTTTATTGGTTTTTAAGCACACGATGTCGGAGCAGGCACAAAGGACCGGACAGAAAATCGGTACTAAAGCAGCCAAAGTCCAAAGAAAACCGCTGACGGACCTTCAGAAATTCTGCAGGACTGTCGATCAAGACCGATATAATGGATCGCAGTTTGGAAGCACAGCGTAAAACAAATGAGCGCTACTTTAATGTTTTTTTACAGTTGGTTTTTATATTTGTGTGTAAATTTAACACTTAAAGCGTCACGTCCCGCTCTGTATGTGATGGTGGCTAAACCCCGTCTCAGTTTTCAGAGAAGAATGACCGCAGTGTTGAAGGGTAGCAGCCGTGTAATGTTAATATTATGGGATATCAGTCAGTTGGTTCTAGAAGAGTTGAAATTTATGATGGGCTGATAGAAGCTCAGTTGTTGTCCACTGAAATGAAAGGCAGGCTCGTTTCTTTGGGATGTTTGTAACTTTCTCTAAAGGTTTTTGGATAACGAAGCCAAAAAAAAAAGTTTTTCATTTTATCCGTCAGGCTTTTTATTCGCCCGTCCTAAGATGGGACGTATCACGTATGACGCTGTTCGTCCGTGGACCATTTCTTATCCAAACTCTAAAATTGTTCAACTTTTAACACTTTTGTGTTCACACTTCAGGCCTTTATGCGCAATTCTCATTAGATCCGATGTTTTTTTTTTTTGCGTAATCGTATACGTAATTTAAATGGGACTGTCATTAGATTCCATTGTGAAGAGTCTATGACCTTGAAGTGACCCCGCATCACGGAAGACGTGACGTCGCACGCATCATCATAAATATGGATGCTACACACGCTAGCTAGTATGTGTGGATTGATTTTGAAGTTGTGCAAGCAGAACTGATAAGTTGCAGTTCCTGTGAAAATGCACTGTGAGTGCTTGTTGCTGAACAACAGCTGAAATGAGCTAAAACATGCTGAAATATAGCTGAAATGGAAGAACAAGCCTAAGTTGGCAGAAGAAAGCCGAAGGAACATATTTGGTTTAAATAAGCAGAAATGAGCACAAAAATCAGAAAATTAGCTAAAGGAGCTGAAATTGGCCACAAATAGCTGAAGAGTAGCTGAAACGTCAGGAAGACGCTTAAAATACCAGAAGAAAGCGTAGAGGGCACAATTGTGCCCAATTAGGCTTAAATTTGCAGAAATGAGCACAAAAAGTGGAAATTATCAGAAAACAGCAGAAATCTGACCCCCCCCAGCTGAATATTAGTTAAAAAAGCAGAAAGAAGCTTAACTTACCAGAAGGAAGTAGAGAGAGCACATTTTTGCTGAATTAGGCTACAAAAGTTTAAATGAGTGCAAAAAACTGTGGAATTAGCTGAAAATTCTGAAATTAGTATAAAATGGCTAAATAGTAGCTGAAATAGCAGAAAAAGCTGAAACTAGCATAAATAAGCTGAAAGGAGCATAACGAGCTGAAATGAGCAGAAAGGAGTTATAAGAAGCACAAAAATATTGTAGTTAGCAGAAAGGATTAGGAAGGAGCTCAAAACGGCTGAAAAAAACAGCTGAAATTTGCTGAAAGTAGCTGAAAAACAGATTAAATTTGCACAACGAGGCCAAATGTGGCCCTCATTGACATCTTATCTGGCCCCCAAGATGCTATTTTAAATGTAAAATACTTTTTTTTTTATCACTTTAATGTTTTTCAGTAATCTTTGATTATAATGTCAAAAGTGCAAGAGAACATCAGATGAGACTCTTGTTGAGGAACCTGCAACCAATAAAAGATGTTGGGTATCCAACTTGAGTTGATGTAGATTCTGAAACCGACCCTTAGTTTGAAAACTGTTTTAACTTTGGCCCCCTTTTGTAAGTGAGTTTGACACCCCTGCAGTAGTCCCTCGCTACTATGCGGTTCGACTTTTCGCTGACTCACTGTTTTGCGGGTTTTCAATGTAAGTCTGTACAGGACACACGATTGGCTGATTGATGGAAGACGACCAATCGGAGCATTGTGCTCTGTATCCCGGGCACAAGTGAGGGACTACTGTACTTTATGGTTGTACTTGAAACCCTTTGTTTCCTAGATTGTCCCCATCTGTCCATCCATAAGACAGGAAGTTGTCCATGGTGTAACTCCACAAACGTTTAGGACAGAATGTCCTCGGACTACGGCTCCACGTTGGATCTCTATTTTCACTAAGACCACTTCCACCAAAGAAATCTTGAGTTGTTACGGTGGTCTCCTCTGATCATAAATTGGTTTAGAAAGGCTGGTAGTCACCAACAGGTGATTTCTCCACATTGATAGCTGCAGTTTCATGTTTTCACATGTTCTTAAATGAACGTTTTTGTTGATTTATGTCGTGTACAATGTTATTGATGAAATTGACCTTTCACCCCACCACCATCATGCAGATACTTAGACACATCCATTCACAGTGTTTCCTCTAGATTACTTGCCTTGGCAGAGCGCTCATCTCTTCCATGGTTTTTGTCGACGGTGGGGGGG